TGTCAGTAGCAATCATCTCAATAACGTCGACTATGGTTGGAAACATGATAATTATGTTAATTAAACAACTATAGTGAGAGCCCCAACGTATATCACCAAAAGACTGAAGTGTAATTTCTTGATTGAGACCTCATCCGCTTTATATTTCACTAATACTAAGTGATTCAAGAATTTTCAATATTTGATTCTCTCGAATAAGATCACGCCATTTAGCTGATCACTCAACAATATTCACCAAATTGTGTACTGCAGTAAAGAAAGTTTCAAACTTTGGATGTTTCTATGCCACAGCTACAAGAATAAGTTGTAGTTGATGAGCAAAGCAATGAATGTAATGAGCACTTGGGTTTTCTTCCAAAAAAAAGTGCTTTGAGGCCATTATACTCACATTGCATGTTACTAGCTCCATTATATCATTGACCTCTCAAATTAGATATGTTTAAGCTATGTATTGAGAATAATTGATCAATTACAGCCTTAAGTGAGGCAACTGTAGTACTTGAAACATGAATGATACCAATAAAATGTTCCAATACACCCCCATTCTTCACATAACGAACGACAACTAACTTTTGCTCCTTCACTGAAATGTTTTGAGATTCATAAACTAGAATTGAGAAGAAACTATCACGAACATATTTGATAATCACATGTAGACATTCAGAAGTAATAGCACTCACGATATCTTTTTGCACTCTTGGTGATGTTAATTTGGAATTCTCGAGTGTATTCGTAAAAGCAACGGCCTTAATCTTAGCATTATGATCACACAACCAATGCAATAGTTCAAAAAAGTTTCCTCAATTGTTTGAATCTTCTAATTCATCATGTCCATGAAATGCTAGTGCTTGTCATAGAAGAAATTTAACACAATCAATAGACGCATTCAATCGAATCCGATAATCTGTTCGAGCTTGATGTGATTGCTTAACGAGATAGGTTCGAATGCTTTGTTTTTTATTCTTGAACACTTCGTATTTGACCCGAGCTTGATTGTGTGCACTACTTGAAACCCCAATGTGTTTTCTAATATATTCTTTCTTTTTCCAATTTGAGAATCCATCTTTAACAAATGAGCCGACACTCGAACTGAAAAGACAGCAATAAAAGCAAAAAACTGCATCTTTTGCTATACTATATTCCATCCAAGTAGAATGCTAATTATACCACGAAACACAAAATTTCCTGTCTTTGTTACCCATTTTTGTGGGTGGAAACACATGATTGCGAGGCTAACAAAATCCCCCGTCTTTGTAACCTACTAAAGCGTAGATTTACGTTTAAAGTATTTGTCCATAACTAATACAAATAAAAAATCGACTACATTAGAAATCCCTAAGTCAATTTCTTCTTCTAAATCATATTCAAACAAAGTTTCAATCTTCCTAAATCAACTCACATATAAATAAGAAAGCCCTAAATTGAAAATACTAAATTAGGAATTAGCTCTATATGAATTACAATAGAATTGAAATCATTAAATAAGGGGAAACACAGCGCTAAAATGGAATTGGAAGAAATTAACTAAAATCAAATGAAAATGGCAGTTGTGACACACGAGACGAAGACGGTAGTGCCGTAGTGGAGTAGGAAAGAAAATGGTGTACCATGTACGCTCTGAAATGGTAGCCACCGTTGGTCTATGGCCGACTTATCGTGAGAGGAGGAGAGAGAGAGTGAGAGAGAGAGGCATTAGGATTAGTGAGAGACGAAGAAGGTAGTGCCGTGTCATAGTAAAGTGGGAAAGAAAATGGTGTATCGTGTATGCTGAATGTTGGGCACTGTCGATCCATCGTCGGCTTGCTGTGTGAATGGAAGGAGACTGGAGAGAAAAGGACAAAGGCATTAGGCGCTGCGTGCGGGAGTGAGAGAGAGAGAGAGAGAGGTCTACTGCGAGCTATTTCCCTTGCTGCCTGTTTTTAATTAACTTATAATATATTAATTATAAAAAAAAAATCCCCAAAAACTAGGGAGTCAAGTGACCCCATAGGACCCCCCGGTCCGTCCCTATATAATTCATTGATTCATAAGAAAGATGAAACATGATCAATAAAGAATTGGAGAAAGTCTTAAAGTTTCATTACGCCTTTTATAAATAGGCTTCAAATCGTTGCCAACGTGGCAATCAACTAAGCAAGTCAACATGGACCATGCTCCATGTCACCTTGCACCGTAGAAATGCCAAGGTGAAATAGTCCACTTTTACATCTGTGGATTAGATCGAGGTCCTGAAGTAATACTCCTTAAAAGGATATACGCAAAAATTAAGATGTTGAGGTTGCGCCTTTTTTTTCAATAGTATCAACATTATTCTATAATGAATGTGTACTTCTTCAAAAGCAATAGTAATCAAGATTGTAATTTTTCATGAAATATACAATGTTTTTTTTTAGAATATTTTCTATATTTTGTGTTTCTTTAGGAACAATAATAATATATATTTTAGAATATTGAGATTTATTAAGTTAACATGATATGTGCATATTTTATGCTTCTCTGGATCTACAACATAATATTTTTATAATTAAAGTTTGTTATCTTCATAATAGAACTGAATATTTTTCTTATATATAATTTAATATAAAATTGTGTTTCTTGCGAAGCAATAGCTGATTTTTTTTCTAAAAATACTGACTTGAATAAAATTTATTTTTTAGGACCAATAAAATATTGTTCTAGAATATTGATATGTATAAAAATTTTATTGCTTTAGAATTAACAAAATAATATTCATTTTGAATATCTTTGAATTTGATCTGTGTTTCTTTAGGAACATCAACACCATATTTATCTAGAATATTGATATGATATTTAAATTCTTCAAGAACATAAATATTATTAAATGTTATTATAAATCACAATACACATGCTATACATTATGTGAAATATAGTATTATTAAAAAAAAAAACTTAATAAATTTACTCGTAATATATAGAGCATAAATAAATTGAAATAATTTTCAGATTTTTACAAATCTATAGAACTTCAGAAAGTCTATAAATTTTGTAGTCCAACTTTTGTAAGATTCAATTCAAGCTTTCCACCTAGTGGAAACTTCAATGGGTTAGGTTTTTAAAAAGATTGTATTTCAGAAATCATATTTAAGGTTTACTTATCCATAAATCAACAGATAATTCAACTATTAACTTTAATAATATTATTATAAAATTAACTAATCTACCCATCCTCACCTCCATCCATCCCCAAGCCCTAATTTATTTTACATTTGCAAGTTATAGAGTTGTTCAACGGTGATTGATAGGGTAGACCCCAGGAGGTAGACCTTCTTCTTCACCACCACTTTTGTCATCAACTTTAGCTTTGTCAGATGAAAATTTTTGTTTGGTGGTTGTGGAGTGATGATGGACTGAAACCCAAGCAATAGCCCATCTTTTTCCTCTTCAATTTTTTTTTTTTTTTTGCACATTTTGTAGCTTGTTTCCTGTTTTCAATGTGTTGTAGTTGGGTTTATTGTGAGTTTTAAGTTGAAAATAGATCCAAACTTTATAAGCATCGCTATTCTCTAATTGCACTTGAGTTTACGCTGAGTAAATGTAACAATTACTAGGCTTATTGTGAGTTTTAAGCTGAAAATGGATCCGAACTTTATAAGCATCGCTGTTCTCAAATTGCACTTGAGTTTACGCTGAGTAAATGTATCAATTATTAGGTTCATAAGCATGCAAAGCATCGTGCACCGCTGCAATTTGAGTGATAGTTTTGTGGTGATTTTGCAATGATTTTGTGGGGATTTTTTAGGTGGTTCTCTTGTGGTCTTTGAGGTGATTTTTTTGTGTGATGGTGGTGGTGGTAGTGTTGCCGACGATGATCACATGTTCATAGAATGTATGTCAAATGCTATGTTGATATACGGTGGTGTTAATGATGTCGTAGGTCACATGTACTAGATCACAGTTTATTATATATAGATCATAGATAAATGTTCACATATTACAAATCAAACAAAACTGTTCACAGATCATGTTTGCAAGTCACATGTCACACTCAATAGGTCACAAGTCATATTATATAGGTCACATATTAATGTCAACATGTCTCAGATCAAAATTAATTGGTCACAGATCGTATGTCACCTGTCCTTGTGCATTGATAATTAGTCACAGATTTAAGTTCACGGATCATAGTTCATATGTTATAGGTAACAATATATAGGTCATATGTCATATTGTATAGGTAACATATCAATGTTTACATGCCACATATCAAATTGTGCATTATTTACAAATAAATGTTTAGATGTTACAGATCAAATAGAACTAGTCACAAATCATGTTTATATGTCACATGTCACACTTCATAAGTGGTCACCAATCAATTTCAACAAGTCATAGATCATATGTCACACGTCTTTTTGCATTGATAATAGGTCACATATTCAAGCTCAAATGTCACAATTCATATGTTACAGGTCACATGTCATATTCTCGATCAGAGTTTGTAATCGTTGCCTTCAAAAATTTTAATACATAGTTTGTGAGCTCAAGTGTCCAATCTGTTTCAATTAACCAGATTTCATCTAACAATCTCTCTTCATGTTTCAATCTTGTTCTTGCTTATATGATCAAACTTCATATTGTGCCATGTTAACTTCCCCTGTTTCCCAACACTTCCATCCACCCACCGTCAATAATTCAACACAAAAAACAATTTTTGCTTTTCTAAAAACAAGGGTAATATTGTCTTAACCCAAAGTTTTCCTTCATCTTCATCTCCTCTATGTGCGAACAAAGGAGATGTTGCTGTTTCTCCTTCAAACAAACTGAACCCATTTTCTTCCATTTGTTTGTGCATTCTCTTTACCTTCATCTGCTAGCCTACCATACATAGCTGGCCCTGTTTTTGCACAAGTAAAAAACTTTCAGTTTAAGTGGCTCAACAACAGACAATCGGTGGTGTTGAAAATTGTTTACCTAGTAAGGAACAGAGGAAGAAGAGTGATGTTGGTATAGTAGCAAGAAATTTTTTATCACACAGCAATCCCCGTTCAACAGTAGCAAAGCTTGAAGAAAAAAGCGTAATGTATAGGCCCTGCGTTCACAGGGCCTGTACAGGCCCCCTCACATGCTGTGTGAGGGGGTGGGGGTGGGGGATTATTTCAAAAAAAAATTACCCACCCCCTTGTATTCAGTCTGGCTTGTACAGGCCCTGTGTCGAAGCTTGAATTCCCTGCAATTCGTTCCCAAGTTCCTGGTTTTAATCCACAAACAGAAGCCTCATTTTCATCACATAATGAGCCAATACATTTCCAGCCTTGTCGTTGTGCATCAGTAAATATAGTGACCAAAGTGTTGCGAAAATCAAAATCCAAGCCAATGACACCAAAAATACACGAACCAGTTGTGAAAATCCAAATAATCCTTTGGCTGCACTTCAACAGGGTTGTAATATATTTGGCTCAAAATAGGTACGGACAGTTTGCACTTTTTTTTTTTTTTTTTTACCAAGGTATGGATACTTTAAGCAACTTAGTTTTAATGGTATGGATGTTTTACGTAAAGTATATTCAAAGGTAGGATTGTTACACGTAAAACATATTAATAAGTAGGGATGATTATCACAAGTTCAATTTTATGCTAAAAAAGAAAGAACAAGTCAAGTTCATCTTCTTCATTCATATGTGATGGGCCACTTACTATTGAAATCTAATGGGTTATTTACAGCATCACATTTGCTGTTGCTCTTCTCATTTTCCTTAATAAGCACAAAATGGAGATGAACATCTCCCGTTTATTGACCACATATTCAATCTCTTCAACTACCGTTTCAAATTTTATGAGTAATCCAACATTATAGCAGCCATTGTTCTTCTCAACGCGAAATACAATGTTCTTTGTGTTATTTTTTATATATTTAATTAATGGACTAATTTTATAAACTATTTTTTTTTTATCATTGTTACTTTTGAACAATTAACTTTGAAGGCGAGAAGAGACAACAATGGAAATTTGGGTAAGACTATATTACACTTGGTTTTTGAGAAAAAAAAAATCAATTTTTTCTTTTTTATTTTTTGAGTCAAGGGTGCATTTCACGGTGGCTAAATGGAATGACCTTTTCCACAGTGAAAGATGAAAAGTGGACTGAAATTGCTAAAAAAATGAAAACATTTTGTACAAAAACATTAAAATGTGGGGGGTGTTGTTTTGTGCAAATTAGCCGATGTTAAGCTCCCATTTGGCCCCCATTTTTCAAAAATGAAAATGGGGTGGAATAATTTTTTTTGAAAAATGAGTGGTTGAAAAAGAAAGAAAATTTTTCGATTTATGGAAAATTGTATGATTGAAAATATGAGAGAAAAATGAAAGTGTCAATTGTTCTGATAATCATTGAACTTTGGTCCATATCTTTGATTGGTCACTAAAGTTTAAAATATCGAGTTTTGGTCACTGAACTTAGATCAATGTCTTTGATTGCTCACTGAACTTAGGTCAATGTTTTAGATTGCTCGCTGAAATTTAAGATATCGAGTTTCGGCCACTGAACTTTGGAATATACCGTACGTTACTCACTGTCATAATTGTTGAATTTTGAAAAATATCGAATTTACAGTAAATAATGTACAACATTTTTCAAAATTCAATTAGTAATGTACAATATTTTTCAAAGTTTAGTGAGTAATGTATAATATTTTTCAAAGGTCAGTGGCTAAAATTCGTCATTTTAAATTTCAATTAGCAATTGAAGATATGAATCGAAGTTCAATAATCAAAATTCGATATTTTAAATTTTAGTGATCAATTAAAAATATGAGCATAAGTTTAGTGATCATTAGAACAATTAACTCAAAATGAAATGTAATTTAATAGGCCAAACGGGGGTAAGAGTAAGATCCAGGTGTAAAATGGTCATTCACTTGTTGCCTCAGTCGTCTTTTCCTTGTTCGAAGCTGTTGTAAATGGTCACACACTGAATTCTCTCTGTTTCCCTCAGAAATTCCTATAAATCCAGTACGTGAAGAGGGAATTCAACGAAGAAATTCGGGAAAAAATGAAAAAAGATAAGGAATTGGTAATGGAAAACCCTAGTAGAAATGAGGAAGAAGAAGATGATGATTATGATAATCAAAGAGCAGCAGCTTTCCCATCCTCCACTCGCAACGCTTCCTCCAAGTACGATTTCGTTAAGGTGCGAATTAGTGGTAATTTGTTACCCTTTTCGGTTATACCATAATTAAGTGTTAATTTAATTATTCCTGCACGAAATTTTGGTTTAGTAGAATTGTGTTTTTGTAATTTTTACAGGTGAAGGTGTGGTTGGGTGATAATGCCGATCACTATTACGTGCTATCCAGATTTTTGCTTAGTAGAATGTTAACTGTCACTAAGGTTCACGTTCTTTTAATTCTTCGCTATTTCAAAATTTTTACCATTTTTAGTGATTGATTTTGTTGTCATGGTTTTGAAAGTTTAATTTTTTATATCTTCATTACAGATTCCGAATCACGTGGCTATTAAGATTGCTCTTGAACTTAAAAAGTTGCTTATTGACAATAGCCTTCTTGATGTGTATGTTCTAACATCTCATTCTCAGCTTTTGAACTTGCAATTTTGTTTGCTATTGTTAGAAATTCTTTTGTGCTTTTTGGCAGCTCACAATCCGATTTAGAAGCCAATTTATTTAAGGTAAACTGCTTGTAGTGTTCTCGGATTTAAATTTTTCCTGTTATTTTTCGCAGTAGGTAGGCTGTATTCTTTGATTTATTTATTATTTTTTTTTTTGTGAAACGATAAGTAAAATCCTTCGAATGGTTTCCCCTTAATTGGAAGATGAAATATATGGTCAAGATTCAAGTCATTTGTAGTGTTTTAAGCAATATTGATCCTTGAATCAGAATCCAATATTAACTGTGATTGACATGTTTACTAGGATCCAAATATTTCATTATCTTGACCCACAGCACTCTCGCATGAACCTGTATTTCTTTCTTGTTTAACTACAAATCCATATGCTAATATGATTCAAGTAGCACATGATATGCAGTTACATTATTCACAGATACGTGTTTATGAAGTTCAACATGTGATTTTTTTTATTCAATTATCTGACAACCGTACTTATTGTTGTTGACAAAAAATGACGACCCCAGAAACCATTTGAAGGGAACTTATGGCATCCATCTTAACAATGGACAATCAATGAATATTCACCAAAATAAAAGAAAGTTGAAATTCCTATCTGTGTCCTCTGAGTCTCATGGTACACTCCACAAATTGAAGGCTCAGCCTTAGTCTATTGGTGGAAATTTTTCCTTCTTCTTCACCCCACCACTTATCTTTGATGGATTTTTGAATTTTGTGTGGAAAAACTGCAAAATTTTCATTGCATTGTGTAGCTTATGGAGCGGCGAGGTTATGGGGAAGAATATATAAACCGCTACAAAATGATGACAAGGTGAGTCTTTTTGCATTTTTCAAATTCAATATCACAATTAATGCTTGATCTGATACACTATTTTTTTTTTTTTTTTTTGAAATAAATCTTTTCTTCATCTTTAGATTTCATCATCAAAGGGTGCCTTTGGTTATACTCGTTTGTGGTACTGCATGTGTGGGAAAATCTACAATTGCTACTCAGCTTGCTCAACGGCTAAACTTGCCAAATGTTTTGCAGGCAAGCCTCTTTTATATATCCCTTGTTTAGCTTTTTACTTGTATCTCTCTCGGGTACTCACCGATCAGCACTAATCTTATGCTTTTAGATCTAGTTCAGTTATGTACCAATGCTTGACTTTGCTGATACAAACTATTGATGCTGCAGACTGGCATGGTGTATGAACTCCTACGCACAGCAACAGAGTAGGTGATCCATAACTGTTTTTAGTGCATTGTTGTTTTTCCAATGTCTGACATACTTATCGCAAATTTGGATTACACACTAACAAATTATAATTTGGCATTTTACGGACCTGCTTTTATCATACATCATGCTTAATTTATAAGCCTGGCACACTGAGGTGCTGCCTTGTTCTATGGGCGTGTCTCTCTCAAATTAAGGAGCATAGAATTGCCACGTATCTTTGTCTTGACATTTGGTAGGATTGACTGGTTTTAAGGTTTTTTTCCTTTTCCTTTGTGCTTGTCCCTTTTCCCAACTGGATTCGTTACCAGGAGAGATCTCATACTCTAAAATTTGGATTCGTTATCAGGAGAGATCTCACATTCTAATATTATACTAGTGTAAATTGTTAAAGAAGCTTATGCAATATCAGAATGCTCATGCACCTGTTATTTCATCTCAGTGCACCATTAGCATCTTCCCCTGTGTGGGCTAGAGATTTCAGCTCTTCTGAGGAACTAATTACTGAGTTTTGTAGAGAATGTTGGATTGTTCGTAAAGGTAATGCAATAGCTCTACTTCTATTGATCTAAAGCATTTTCAGGACTATAATATATGTGAGAAAGAACATTCCCATGTAGGTTTGGCTGGTGATCTAAAGAAAGCAATGAAAGATGGGAAGCCAATTATAATTGAGGTATAGATCTTTATGCTAAATTACATTGTGGCTCCTTTCTTAACATACTGGCAATGGCTCTGTGTTTCTTATTCTAAATATTTCCCTTATCTGTACCAAAAATACAATAACCTAATTATATTTTTGAGAACCATACATATGAAATAATTGAATCAGCTTATGTAAATGGAAAACAAAGAAGAATATGGGCGTATACTGATTTCTAACAGACACTCATGTAAACTTGTATTTCTGTGGCTCGTGATGTAAAATGATCGTAGATTAATGAATAATATTAAACGAAGGGAAAAGCGATGGGTTTGTAGGACAACATTGTATATATAACAAGGAGTTGTGAAATTTGTTTTCATATGAAAGTTAAGCCAACCTGACAACCGCCTTTTTTTTCCCCCTTTTTATTGTAATATACCGATAACGAGGAAGCAGGATTTGAACAATGCCAGAATTTAAGGCTGTTTGCTGTATGAACGCTATATTTCCTTTTCATTATGTCAGGAAATTAGAATTCCGAATTTGTCATCACAATAGCTTTTTGATTTCTTTTGAAATGTGTATTCTTGGCAAGCAGGGCGGGCCCAATGAGTTTCATTTTATAGACAGGTTCTTTCCTATTGATTTTGTGATATTAAAGTTATTGTAAGTAACAAGTTTATCGGTGTCTCTAGAAGCTTCCCTTAAATGACATTCCCAATAAAACAAGGAGTTTTGATAACACGACTTTAATTTTCAGGATCAGTTTATGACATTGGGGTTTTGTTTTTTAATTAGTTTTTAGGCCTGGAACCAGCAGAGTTTTTGAGACTTCGATGACAATTCTTCAGCTAATTTTGGTATGCTGGAATGGCCTAGAATGGAAAAGCCACTCAACGTATAATGCTATTCTACCTAGAATAAGCTGGAATATTGTTATCCATTTCACTTTTTGACTAGGTAGCAGTATGCCAGCATCATATGACATGAATTTTAGTGACACAAATGAGGAAGAAAAATGCTGGAAACATTCTGGATGCTATCACATTTAACTTTTTGGAACTGGTGATGAACACCATGAATTTGTGACCTCACCCTTGCGCTGATTCATGTTGTTTGTTCTGCAATGACAGGGAATGCATTTGGATCCAAGTATCTACTTAATGGATGATGAAAATAAATTATCAACAGCCTTGCCAACAATAGATAAAGAGAAGTCTTTGGAGAATGATATAAATGGAAGGGAAGTTGAGAATGATTCGAGTACCGAATATGGTAATCAAGCCAAGAATGATTCCAGTCATCAGGAAGGGAGATCAGGGGAAATGGTATCTGCCGTAGATGGAGTTGCCGATGATCTGAAATCTTTGGATATAGGTAGCTGTCTACTTGATAATAAGGGTGAAAACTTTTGGTCTTTTCTGTGCTAAACACTGTTGTTTATTTCTGGCATAAGGCTGTTATGCATTATGTTTTCTTTACAGGAACTTTGATGGCGGGATAAATCTTTGTTTCTAACTTTTTACTAGGATTACAGGTGAAACTGTTAAAGATTCTGAAGCAGACAAGGCTCCTTCAGTTAAAAGAGAAAAGTCTGGTCCTGAACCCATAATAGTTCCAATAATCCTAAAGATGGCCGACTTTGATCATAAGGTGTGTTAAAACTTGCCTGCTTTCTGTTTTTAAAGTAAGGCTTAAGAACCTACAATTCAAGCCTTATTTTCTTCCTTAGATTTTGCCCTAATAAATTTATTGCTTTTGCACAGGCATTGCTAGAGGAATGGATATCTACTCGTAGCTGTGAAAAATATCCAATTAAGGTTTCAGTAATTACCAAGCTAGTGTACTTGCTTCAAATTTAATTCAATTGCAGGCTCCAAATGTCTTTGGATGAGGAGATTTTATTTCTGTTCCTTATTTTACTTTTATCAGTATTTTAATTAGAGATTGAAGTATGATTAATAAATTCATCACTTTGCTACTATTTTAAAATAAATCTGTTATCAGCAAGGTATTAGAGTAAGCAAAAATCCTAAGGTTAAATCTCACATGTACCCCTATATGAAAAACTTCCATGTATTGAGTGACATGTTGAAAATCAAAATAAAAATAAGTAAATTCATCCCCTCTTTTTGGGTAAAACTTTTAGAGGCTGTGGTAGTTCTACAATGTCTATGCACCTGTTATCTGTATGGTTTCTTATCTTTGACAATTGTACTTCTGATCTTTTTTCCAGGACAAAGATAAGCTAATAAGCAACTTAAAAACGATCCAAGATTATCTCTGTTCATTTAAGTCACAGGTATGATCAATTACACCTTTCATGAGCCATCAAATGGTGAAATAGAACTTTCAAGTGTGCAACGTATTTGAGGATGTAAAGTGGTTTGTTAATTATATGCTGTACGGAATTAGTAAGGGACTCTCTGGGAGGCCTTTTTTTTTTTTGGTGGGGGTTGGGGCTGTGAAAGTTTCTTATTGTAGAAAAGATCTGTCAGATGACAATTACCAGATTGATTCTCTGACACTGTTCATCATGGTTGCCTGAGGTAACCATTATTTTCTTTACTCGGAACACAAAAAGATTAGAACTTGATGTGAACAGCAAACTCCGGCTCACTATATCTCCCTGTCCCTTTTGTTCTTTATGTTAGTCCTGTTGATTTTGTCAAAGTAAATTCAATCGGATTGTAAATGTCTATTTTAGATTCAGATTATGCTTGTATAATTTTGCCATCACTGTCTCTACTCAAGAGGAAATCTGAAATTTTTTTCGAAGAATTAAAATAAAGATCTTGGAGGAGTTTCTTGGATTGTTGAGCAAATCATTTATTAGGCGAGTTGCATTATGGGGAAAACATGCATTATTTCTTTAATGCTCATTGTGTTTCACAATGTGAGCAGGGTTTAACAGTTATCAACATATCTGCAACAACCTTCCCCCAAACACTGGATTGGCTGCACAATTATCTTCTTCAGGTAATCTTTATTCTTAAAAATTTGAGGTAAGCTGAACCTGCCTAGCCTTCCTGTTATGTTTTGTTTAATTATCCATAGATTTCACTTATTCTACATTAATCTGGAAGTCTGCTTATTAATTTACACATTGGAATGTCATATATTCTTCTGCTGGAAAAATCATTTTACTATCAATAAACGGGGAGAGAGGAGAGGGAAGGGTTGATAGAATTGTTAAGTGTTTGAGTGCTTTACCCTCTTAGCCAAGATATATGAATATCCTGTATTAAGAAATGTCATCTCATACTGTTAATTCTAAATGGTTTGTTTTCTATGTTCAGTGTATTGAGCAGGGTACATCGTCCGTTTCTAGTGGGAATCATGGGCAGATGGTGGGAAATTAGATTGCATTGATGAATTTAAGGTATGCTTTTTTTCTTTTTTCTTTTTTCTTTTTTCTTTTACTTGGAACCTATTGACTTTTGCAAAATTCTGCCTTTTATATGCATTATTGCACGTATCCATCTAATCAAGTTTGAAATCTAGTAATTGAACAAGCTCCAGTAGGTTTGACATGTTCTATCACAATGGATTGAACCTAACTGTTGAATAACCCAGTTTTAGATGATGAAATTGTCCCACAAAACTTGAATAACTTAAGCTTTTTGCTGGTATAGTTCACGTATGTGGAATTACATATGCTATTTATAGATGCGAATCCTTTGTCGGGGAAGGACAAATGTCGTGTGGCTCTACTAGAATGCCTGGCAACAACTAAGGATAAATTAAGGGAATGATGCCATATGGCAGTTGAAACTTTTCTTGCATAGATGTGACGATACTGAATAGAGTAGCATGTAGCCGAAATAAGGATTTATGTAGTCCGACTCGAACTAATGATTCATTGCAACATTCTCATTCAGAAGGAACTAGGCACTCCAATCACTGAGTTGTCCCTGTCCAATTGTACACCCACCGTTTTCACCTGTTATTCTAATTATGATCTTATGCATTTTCTCTCCAGAAGAGCTTGCATCACTATTTGGCATATGTGGCTGAGAACAGGATACTGGTGAGTTGGTAAGTTTACCAGATCAAGCTCTGCCTGTTGGAGATCCAAGACTTAGCTTGAATAAACAAAGTACATAGTAACCGGAGATTACCTTCATTGGATTCCGACCCCTCCGCCCACAACTCTTATTGTAAGCTCATGTATTGGTTGTAATTGCAGATTGCATTCTCTAAAGATGTGGCCCATCTGAACATATTGATAGTGTAAGTTATAAAAAACAGGAAAAACCACCCATATAGAAGGGTTTTCAATCTTTAAGGCTTTCATATGCTATGATAAATAAATCTGAATTCCAAATTGTTCTAAGTTTTAATGCTCCAAGTGTATGTCTATGATCTTTGGTCAATTTAGAAATCATCTGTGTCGAATTGGTTTAGAGTGCATGTTGGTGTGATTTTATCAAAGTTTTTAGTATACTGTTTTGCATACTAATGCGCGCTGTTGATCCCTTTTGTCTCTGTTACATCTGTTGAACATATATTCAATGCAAAAGCAATGAAACTGAAGGAAAGAAAGTTAACAAGAATCGTGGCACCGAATAATTAAAATTCAATTCCATGAGCAATGCCCTTTGATGAATCAGCGCTGGTTGAGCGGGGAAAATGCATCCAATCCTATAGAATGCTAGATTCTTGAAACTCCTCAACAAGTGTAGAACTGATGGAGTAGGAGGTATTCATCAATCCGCCTTGAGAGGTTCCGATGCCAGGACGTTAGCCTCAGACACCAGACCTATGTGTGGGAATTTTACGTCAATTCCCTTTATTTCTATTTACCCACGAGATCTTTTGTTGTTCAGAAGAATATAAGCAAATAGGAAAAATAAAGAATATAACGCATAAATTAAACAGACCATTAAAACTTTTCACAATATGAAAAATAGTTACAGTCATATAGAATTTCATTCACTAACCCAATTTCCAAGTATTACAAAGAAAAATAAATTCGAATTTTACCACATCTACTTTTCTACCCTTTGGACGAAAAGTTCAAGATGTTAGGTTTGCAATATTTTTCTCTCGAAACAACTCTCTAGTTATGCCCAAAATAGTGAAATACATCCACTATTTATAGGATCATTAATCAAGTAGTAGAGTTTAATTTAAATTCAGACAAAACTCTTTTAACTCAACAAGGATTCTTTCATATGCAAGACTCCAAAATCGACTGTAAATTAGAGATCAAATTCTACAAAGATTCTGCTCTTAACTTTAATTAAAAGTCTTCCATATAATAACTACTTTTTACTATTTGTAATAGAAGTCCTCCATCTTTTTACTTTTGAGGCAATTATCCAACAATCTCCATCTTGCCCAAAACGAGTCAAAATCTTGTCACCTCATCTACAATTTTTAATCACAATACTTGGAAAAAATAAGTAAGCATTTGACACATTTTAACGATCCCATACTCCACCATATGAATATAACCACTTAGAATTATATGCGAACTCCGAGCATTTTATCGGCTACATATCAAAACAACCCTGCTAATAATTATGATGCGACTCTCCCAATGACTTTCCCAGAGAGCTCATTAGCCATCGATATCACAACACCACCACATACATACACACCTTGCATCAAATGCCAGTCAATGCTATGTGCAGATATGTTGACCCATGCCAGTAAGAACACATCCTCTATCATGGCAACTGACAGCATGCCATGAGGATGTTCCATCTTACTTTGAAGCACTACATCCGTGCCTTCCTCCGACAAGAGAGACGCATTATTCGACCCCAAGCAGTTAGCCGACCTTGCTCCATCTTTTGAACAATTTCTCTTCACATAGCCATTCTGAGCGCAGTTCCAACAAGTTACTTTTTTTGTCATGGAGTTGCCTCTTCTTTCCTTTTTTAGTCACAAGCACCGCATTGTCAGATGGAGTATTCTGTCCCCCTTATTTTCTTTCTTCTGAGATCAAGTTGCTTGTCATTTCTGCGAAACTCACAGTTTCTTTCCCATACATCAAGATTGGCTTGATATGTTTATCGGTAGATGGAAGAGACCAGATTAGCCTACTGCCTTATCCTCATCATCTATCTTCACTCCAATAGACTCCAATTTTGAAACAATCTCGTTGATAATACTCAGATGGTCTGAGATTTTCGTACCTGCCTCCATGCGCAATGAATGAAATCGCTCCTTCAAGTACAACCGATTTGAGAACTCTTTTTTTGATATAGTTCTTCTAGCTTCTCCTATAGTTCCTTTGCAACAGATATTCCATGAATATTTGCAGGAACGTTTTTAACCAGACAAAGAATTATCATGTTTGCAGTCTTCAAATCCAATTCTTTTCAATCCTCATCGCTCACACTGGATTCAGCTTTCTTGTCAGAACTCTTAGTTGGTTTTCCTTTCAAAGTCTTGTGCAATCTAGTTTGAATTAATAAATCCCTAACTTATACTTACCACAAGTCAAAATTGATTCTTTCGTCAAATTTCTCTACGTCATATTTCAACGATGACATTTTTTTCTGTTGCTCCAATACTCCGAATCACCTGACACTCTAATATCACTTGTTGGGAATTTTACGCAAATTCCCTTTATTTCTATTTACCCGCAAAATTTTTTGTTTTTCAAAAAAATATTAGCAAATAAGAAAAATAAAGAATATAACGCACAAATTAAACGGACCGTTAAAGCTTTTCACTATATGAAAAATTGTTACATCATATAGAATTTCACCACACTTACTTTTCTACCCTTTGTACGAAAAGTCTCAAGATGTTAGACTCGCAGTATTTTTCTCTCAGATAAACTCTTTGGCCACACTCAAAATAATTAAATACATCCATTATTTGTAGGATCAATATCCAAGTAGTAGAGTTTAATTTAAACTTAAATAAGATTCTTTTAACTCAACGAGGATTCCTTCATGTGCAGGATTCCAAATCGGCTGTAAATTGGAGACCAAATTCTGCAATGATTATGTTCTCAATTTTAATTAGAAGCCTTCCATATAATAACTACCTTTTATTATTTGCAGTAGAAGTCCTCCAACTTTTGACTTTTGAGGCAATTACCCAACACTATGGCCAACGGTCCAGTTGCCGACATGGAACCAACGCCCTGAATCAGTAGCAGTATATACTCTGTACACCAATGTAAATACCATCACGCTTTCCAACAGTTGTTACTCTTAATAGAACGCAACCCATGAGTCAATGATAGAGCCAAAGGTTTGACAGCTGGTTCCATCAGAATTTTTTTGGCCATTTATTGTATGGTTGCTCAGGTGACTGTGTGCACTGGCATTGATCCATTCTAACTCACTCAAATTTTTGGATTTGTCATTGATCTGAGAAATTCAATAGAAAATAGCCATTGGAATGCTTGTACGGCCCCCAATAGCCATTCCAAATGCTACTACGGGATTTGCATGGCCACTGGAGAGATTAGAAGCAATATGCACTGCTATTTATAATGCAAATGCATTTGTAACTGCAATAGCGACAAGACTGGATGAATCTGATGCTGCATCGGGCATCATTTTCCCTGTAATTTGATGACTTGCCAAGAAATACAAACAATGAATCATACCAAGGCCAAACAACAACAAATTAAGCCCTATTAACAATAGGTTTGGGATCGATTGCATAATCATGTCAAGGAAAAAAAAAAGAAGGAAAGAGGTGAAGTGCAATATTCTCTTAAAATGCTACAAAAGAACTCATTGAGAATCAGAAAGCAAAATTGTTAGATTAAATAATTCTTTCTAAATTCTGGATAATTTTAAACTCAAATTTGCATTCAAAGGTTGCAAATGCCAAGATTCATTAAAATTTTGGTACAACATATCATAAACATGGGAGAGCATAGACAAATCAAATTAAATTATAAATAGATAGAAATAAGTATTAAATAAGTGATTAATACTTTTAAGTCGTTCAAAATGTGTGGATAAAAAATGACTTGAGTATTTATAAACATTGTTGACCACCGAACTCCAATCTCATGAGAAACCGTCTCAGGCCCCGCCTCAAGCAGATGTGAGTTCGGCTAAGACCCCCAGATCGGATTTGTCGTCATAATTTCAGGAAACATCATGATTACCCCTTGTCACATCAACCTCTCAAATCAACCCATTCGTCAGGAGTGACGTCACCACCGCCCATGGCCACCAATACCTAGCTCGGAATCTTTAAGTTGCTTGAGGGTCATATTTACCTGAGAAATACATTGACCCATGGCCACCGGCCTCATCGACCAATCATAGGAGAATTCGGTGACCCGAGTTTCGAGCTCGATACTGTAACTGATTTGATTGATTTGATGTAATTTCAGCTGAACACATGTATAAATAGTAGAGAAATTGTAACCCCAAAGACAGGGGAATTCATATACAAAACCATTACACGATTACATTTTCTCAATTGATTTATGACCCATTAGCAATAACTCGCCCTTTTTCTTAAAGTTGGCTCAAGATCAATCTTACAAATTTTGACGTCAACAGTTTGGTGCTAGAGAAAGGGCCCAATTGTGAAACATAGCCCCGTTCCCCCTTAAAATTGAAGAGCCATGAGCCATAGTTTCAGTTTTATAAATCCATCTCATACCCACCCTCACGAAACTAATACTCCGCCAAGTTCTCCAAGACGACAAGACCAACAAACGACCGCTATGATGGAACCCTAGAAAAATTAACAAATATAGTGAGACGATTGGAACGGAGTCAAGCCCACTTGTCCCCATCAGATACTGAGGTGGAATCCCCTGCAAGGACAAGGGCAAGACATCCCTCCACCAGGAGGACTCTCCACTTTTCAAAAGGAGAATTCTCAAGAAGTCGAACTGACGAAGTAAGGAGTAAGGATCCCGTGGCAAGGAGGACTGGCAGTGTGTTCGACAGGTTGGAGACCCAGCACTCGCTAACCCTACACAAGGACAAGCTGAATCCGATCTTAAACGTCTTTTGGAACAGGCAGAACCTTAACTGAGCGCACTGAAAAGATGTATTGCTGACTTGGAGGCAAAAAACAGAGGCGGCATTGAAGACTACCTCACAAAGCGACATTCCTTCTTTGCAGAGAATGTCTTTATGGAACCATTATCTGAAAAATTGAAAATTCCCCAGATGATCTCATACGAAGGAAACGGGGATCCCCTCAGCCACCTTGACAAGTACACCTCGTGGATGGAACTGCAGGGAGCAAGCGATGCCATCATGTGTCGGGCTTTTCCCCTGACCCTAGGAGACAAAGCACAGAGATGGTTCAGGAGACTGCATTAGAGGTTGATGAAGAATTGGAACGACCGGTCATAGCATTCTTGGCCTAGTTCATGGGCTCCAAATCCAGAACCATGCCCAAGGAGCGGCTAGTAAGTATCAAGCAAGGAAAAAGTGAATCCCACAAAAGCTATCTA